AACCTACAGACATCGGTCTTGTTTAACAAAATCTGCCTACAATAAAATCAGTCACCAAAGTACACCAACATCCGACTATATTGGAAAATAAAGAACATTATAAACACCATATACATCTTTAAAATTTTTAATCTTGTTAAACTACCCACAAGTGTTGTGTCATAAATGTCCAAATTTAGTTTTTTATATTTTGGTTACAAAACATTGATAAACAATAATATCAAGTGGAAACTCCATACAATAACTTTAACAATTGTTACACTCTAATAAAAATTGCATATTATATCAATAAATATATTTAATTTTACAAAGCATTAATATTTCATCAAACATTTTTCCATTTATTATATTCAAAATTTACCTCCATGTGGTCCACGAGATGTTAAATCTCCTAAATTTCCTTGATGCTGCTGCTGCAACATACTACTACTACTAAGCGGTAAATCACTCATTCTCCCGAGAAACCCTGATCTCATTTCAATATCTGTAGGATAAGGTCGTCTTGGATCTCCTACAATCAGAAGAAACAAAGCTTTAGAAAATATACATCAAATGCAGTTAGGAAATTATAATATTTTAAACAGTTTGTTGAACAAAATGAAAAAATATTATTTCTACTTCAAAAACGTAGGTAAATGAAGATTACTTGTGAAGGATATAGGGCATTATAAGTAACATATACATAAAATGCAGTTCAATTCTTTTAAATGTCTGGTCTTGTTTCATGATTTGATTTTGGCAGGGATAACTGAAGAGGGTGTAGAATTTCCCAAATGACATAGCCCAGTGAGACAAAACTAATAACAAAACATTTCTTTTTTGAATAAAAGGTAAAAACAGGTTTATCCACAAAACAACATGGAAGAATTAATTGTTAATATTAAAATTATCTATCTAAATACCTATATTAATGTAGGTTACTTGTAACAAATAAATGACTAAAAATACCATACATATAAAATGCAGTTTACTACCATAGAAAGACTGGTCTTGTTTATTGTTTTTTTTGCTGTTCATGGTTAATACCTAAACAGTAAAATTACCAAAACCAAGAATACATTGTACCTGAGGCCTAGACAGGATGAACACATGGCAAACTCAATTTAGTGCTCCCAATTTTGTGTGTAGGCCTAGGAAGAATGAATGCTGTAATTTCACAAAATATTTTATTTTTAGACAGAATGCTTTATATCCATAGGCTTTTTAAGTAAAATGCTGCATATCTATCAATGCAATGTCATCAGTAGCTCAATATTGTCAGAAATCTAGTATAACTCATTTTGCATCTAAGCTTGTAATATACAATTGTTCATGTATGTGATGGTTTTAACATTTAGTCTTTAGTATTTTACAGTGAACATTGAGAATATCTGACATATAAACTGATAAAGAAATCATGGTTTATACTGATGCTTACATTAATTAAAGTGTTGTTAAATATATTTATGTATAACAATTTAAAGCTTTTTGTCCAACAGGCACAGTATGATGCTACAACTTGTCAATTTAAAGATGTCTGGTTTTATTTTATGGTTTGGCTTTGACTAGGATAACTGATGAGGAGTGGAACTTCTCAAAAGAGTGGTAATTCAGTGCAACATATTCAACAATAACATTGCCTTACAGTTTAAAAAAATACAACTTCAATTTTGTAACTATTTACAATGTTATCATCTACAAAGACTTCTGTATCAATTTTATCTTCTGTTACAATAACCTTATAAACAACAATGTTTGCACATTTACACTTAACATTACTGACTGTAAATCATCATTTTAACAACTAACTTTCACTTCAGTATAACTAACAGTGTGATAATTTATACGTGATTCATAATTAATGTTTTAAGTCTTACATATATAATTCTAAACAGTACAGTGCTTTGATATACTTATATTTTTAAGTGCTATTAACAGCTGTTTCTCTATTCCCCAATCAACTATTCCCTGTTAACTGTCAAATATTTAAAGTATATGCGTGTACTTTCCTATGGTCAAAGAAAAACAAAGCAAACAAACTATAGCAACTTTAAAATAAAATAGTCCTAAAAAATAGTCTAATAAAATATTACTAGCAGATAACAATACAATAGGTGTTGTTACTTTAATGTATAAATACATTTAATTTTTAGCTTAATTTATGTTTATAGCCACAGGATAGCATAACTTTATGACTAAAATATGGCTCAAAAGGTCATGTATACTTATTATTAAAAAAGGTTTCATAAAACTTTAATGTATACAAATTGGATTTTCTCCAAAATTTCTTTGAACCTCAGAAGAACAGGAGCCTTTTTAAATCTGACTTATACGTAAGACAATCCATGGAAAAGTCAAGTATCAGTTAGAAAGCTGATCTATATTAGGCTTAGTAACCTTTAACACTTTGATTATAGTCAGTGAATTCCTGTGTTGAAAACCTACGTAGACTGCTACTTGTACTGGAAAGAGTAATAACCTGGCAGTCAGACACTCAGAGAAAAACCTTTCAGTCATTAAACATAACTGCTGTCCAACTAAAACGATTATTAAGCATACAATTAAAAGAAATTATTGCTAACCTTTTAAAAAAAAAAGTAATCATAGTGACAACAGGTATTGAAAAATAAAAAAATTTTATTATAACAATTAAAGAATACACTGATATGGCTTACATGTGTCTTGGTTAAATTGCAGTTACTTGTGTAATAAAACAAGATATTTTAGAATAACAAAAGATAAACTGATCTGCCTTGGTATGTCTGAAGGAAGCTGTAATTTCATATGTACTGAAAGGTAGACAGATGACTGTTAATAAAGGAGAAACTGATTTGTTTAATCTAATGTCAGTTACAGTCATGTGTGTATTGCAAAATAGCCACATGATTACAAAGAAGGATAAACTGATTTGCCTTTGGTATGTATAAGCTAAGCTTTGGCTCTATTGCTAAAAGACTTTAGCCTAAATCATACTTGACATTTTGTAAACATGCCAGACATAAAGGAAATGAAAGCAGAAACATAGACTACTCATTAATCTCATTCTAAGTTTTTTTTTAAATTTTGAAAACATTCCACATACATACACTTAGAAATGTGAAATTTTTACATCTCAGCCAAACAATTCAGAAATATAATTTCCCTAAGTTGGGGCCAAAGGCCACCTGGAGAGGTCATGTGTTTTAATCATTATACTGTAGTGTGTTGTCTGTCAGTCAGTCACAAGACACTAAAATGACATCACATAAGGGATACTTAACACTGCAATTTGTAATATCGTGGCATCAGTAAAATGTGTGCATGCCACGACATTATGAGAAGAATTATGCACTCTGTAGGCTACAGCACAGCATGACATATGAACTTCAAAAGCAAGAAATTTTGGTAAAATTTACTTTTGAAACAGAACACTTTTGGGGACCCCGCGGAAGTACATCTAGCATTATTTGTCCTTAATGACAACTATACTTCTCTTTAAGACTGACAAAACAAATGAATCATGATACAAACTAGTCATTCATTGTTACTTTAATTTAGACTTATAAAAACGTAGGAGCAATAGTAGAGTTACATTAATACTGAGACAACAAATAATAACAACATTTAACTGATAAAAACCAAAATATAAAAAATATTTTATAAATAGAGGAATCTTTTTGTCCATCATAATGCAATGAGAATTATAACTCTTAGGGGAAAAAAGGTTAACAAGAACCATAAACAATGTTTAAAATGGCAATCCTATTACATTAGCAACCCTTTGTTTCTTACCAACTAATTTAATAAATAAAAACTTTAACACTGTACTACCCAGTTATTCTTATTTAAAAATAAAATATTATATTACTTAAATCTAAACTAAGTCTCATTTCTATTTTTTTTAACTGAACAGAAAATATCAGATGACTGACTTTACATCTCTCAGAATTAAACTTTGCTATTCTAATAAATAAAACTGTTATCAATGACAAAACTTGACAATTTCAGAAAAAGTTTCCTCAAGTAATATTTCATGTTTAGTTAGTAAAACTAATTAGTAAATATACCTTGCTGCCAGTTGTGAGGTGCTGCTACTGCATTAGAAGCACTGATACGATGAGCATATTTTATTAACTCTTCTGAAGGAGTGCTTCTCTCATTGCTCCTTTGAATAGATTGTAGTTTCTGTTTAGCTTGATAAATTGCAGTGGCCTGGAAAATGACAAAGCCAAAGAGATGATTATATGCACTACATTTTCAAGAATTTTTATATTTAAAGTAAAGAAGTGTAAAAACATGGAATGACTATAAACAAAATATATCTCTGTACACAACATTTTTGTATAAACACCTTGTCTTTCTGGATAATCACCCTATTTGACTAAGATATTGAGATTATTTCAAGACCAAACTCTTGATAAAGCAATGTTATGAAATAGAGAATTTTTAAATTATGGTATCAACAAAACAGTAAGCAGTGACGAAACTAAATGGTTTGAAGTGTTCAATGAAACTTTTTCCTTTGTCTCTTATTTCTCAAAGAAAAAACAATATGTATTCCAAAACAAAAACTTTAAAATGCAGTGTTAGTTTTGGGGTTCTAATGCATTTATATCTTCAGAATATAGGATAAGGTGATAACCTTATCATCAATATTGCTATTAGACTATTTGAAAATTAGTTATTTCAATTTCTACAATTTTAGTCATTCTTTAATCACATGTTGTAAGTTCTTTATATAAATATAAAATATTTATTCCATCCTCGGTTTGCATCTTTGAAGCATGAGTGAGCACTCAGTAATGAATCTAAAGTGAGATCTTTTGCATATATATATTACTGTTGGTGGATATTTATAGGTATGGGTAAGCAGGTGGTGGTATCTAGCTCATGGGAGGCGTTAATTGGTGGAGTGTTATATTGTGGCTTGGGGGTTTCTCGCCATGAAG